GCTACGTGAATGTAAAAGCTATCGGTGACTCTGCGTTCTGGCGCTCTCCTGCCCGTATTCTTGCCGTTGACGGCCTCTACTCACACCAACCACTGCATGTCAACCACGTTGGGGGAATCTAGGTCGATATTGCGCTATCTTTCAAAAGAGTGTAAACTCTAAAGACGTGGGTTATGCACGCATCGCGTGTTTGGCTGTCGTCTCCCTCGCGTGCTTGCAATACGTCTTGTAGTCGGTGTGGAAGAGGTGAAGACAGTCGAGACCAAAGCTGCGAACGGTCGTGCCTGCGTAGCGTAATCCTTGGAGCTCCAGCCGCGCTTCGGCGCTGTTGTACATTGGTTCCATGAGCGAGGGGTCGGGTGCGAGAAGGAGCGCTTGAATGCGCTCGATGAGGTCGCGACTGCGCCAATCTACGTTCGTCTACTCAGAGCTCATGTATCGCAAAAGCGCCAACCTGGGTTCCACAGCTGTGTGAGGCACTCGGCCGACGCGGAGCCGTCGACAAGCACAATAAAGTTTACGTGATACACGCGCGTGAGGAGGCGCACGGACGGCGCCTCGTATGGGTACTCGTGCCCAAACCTAGCAGCGCGCTCTTGGTACATCGCAACATGAATACGCAAACGGCAAACTCAAAGTGAAATGTGAAGCGACCACCGGCGTACGGCGACGTCTCTGGCCCCGCAATGTGCACGTGCCATTGCCGCATGTCCTCTTTCTCCACTGTTTCAATCTTTCAACTTTACCAAGTACGTACTTGGGAACGGTACAATGACGCAGCCTGGAATCGGTGCCGCCACGGTCGCCGTGTACTCGCGTCGAATCTCGAACGCTTGTTTCGCCAGCTGCATGAACCGCCCGAGCTTGTTGGCTTTGCCGCGGCGGAGGTTGCTCATCATCTACGCCCACTTCGAGTGTACTCTAGAAACAAGAAGAGTACCCGCACAAACTCTGTGAATTCGATCTGCCCCGAGTTGTTGTCGTCGACGGCTGCAATGAGCTGCTGCAGCTAGTACATCGTATATGAATGAGGCGCCAGGCGTACGTCGGCCACGCGGCACCTCGGTGCGCTCCATGTGCACGTTCATCGACGCCATCATCGTCGAGAGCTCGTTGACATCTAGCTTGCATCTTCAGTGCTCAGCTGCGTGACAATGCAAGGGACCCGACCGATGCCGCCGTCCCCACTCGTGTCAAACGCCTTAAACTACCCGAATGGAGATGCTTAGCGAACGTATTACCCGTACCTGGTCCAAGAACTCTGCGAGTTCGTGCGTCGAGAATTCGCGCTTCAAGCTCTCGGGTACGTAGTAGAGGTCAGTCCCAGCAGCAGCCATGGACGACAGGCGCTGGAAAGACTTCAACGCAAAAATAGCCTTTGCATACGGTTATACGTCCGTTCTTGACGTTAAACGATCAAGTTAGAGACGTTAAACACTATACACCCATGTCTCTGTAGCTGCTTCGGGACGTAGAGGCCACGAGCCTGCCTCCCGCGCATGCTCCAGGGCACTGCACGTCGGTTGAAGCCTCTGCGAACCCGCCAACCTGACTTTCTCGACGGGAGATTAATGCAATACAGAGGTCTTTACCGCGTTTACAAGGAATTAACGGAAGTTAACGCAGCATAACCTTGTCTATATCTCAAACAATAATATCCCATGCATTAAAATAATCAGGATCTCATACAAAAAGCAAGTGCAATTTAATTCGCGCAACACCACGTTCCATCGTTCGTGCCCAGCGGTGCTACAGCGAGGAAATGGGCGGTGACAAGCGATCGGCGCCGGACGCCGAGACGACGGCCTTGGCCAAGCGCGCGCGCCCGGATGAGAACCAGACCTTCCCGCGCAGCTCGGCCATCGTGCCCGTGGACGCCAAGGTCGTGACCATCAGCGCCAAGACCGACAGCAGCCAGCGGACGTCCGACCTCCTCGCGCCCACGATGCTTCTCTCGGGCCATAGCGCCGCCGTGTACTCGATGGCCTTTAGCCCCAACGGCAAGAGCGCGGCCTCGGCGTCGTTTGACAAGTCGATCTTTCTCTGGAACGTCTACGGCGAATGCACCAACTACAACGTCTTGAGCGGCCACAAGAACGCGGTGCTCCAGGTGCAATGGTCGTACGACGGCAGCATGCTCGTGTCGGCCTCGGCGGACAAGACCGTTGGCCTCTGGGACGCCGAGACGGGCCGCCGCCTTAAGAACTACAAGACCCACACGGCCATTGTCAACAGTGTCTGCCCCGTCGCCAAGGGTCCGCAGCTCCTTGTCAGTGGCAGCGACGACCGTACGATCAAGGTCATCTCATTAACCGCATGCAATGGCAGGTACTGATTTGCGTCTAGATTTGGGATACGCGGCTCAAGCGCGAAGTCGCCACGATCGAAGAGCGATTCCAGGTCACGGCGGTCTGCTTTGGCGCCGACTCGAGCCAAGTCTTTTCGGGCGGCGTCGACGGGCTTGTCAAGCAGTGGGACATGCGCAAGGCCGACGCCGGGCCCGTCGACATTCTCACAGGCCACAGCGAGATCATTACGAGCTTGCAGATGAGTCCGGACAGCAACTTTGTGCTCTCGAACGCCATGGACAGCACGCTGCGCAAGTGGGACGTGCGTCCGTTCTGCGAAGGCGCGCGCTGCAAGATGATCTACTACGGCGCCAAGCACAGCAACGACCGCAACTTGATTCGCGCGAATTGGAGCCCCGACATGCGCTACGTCGGCAGCGGCAGCGCCGATCGCCACGTGTACATTTGGGACACGGAGACGGGCGAGCTGCGGTACCACCTCCCGGGGCACTCTGGCAGCGTCAACGAAGTCGCGTTCCACCCGAACCCGAGCGAGCCGATCGTCGGCTCGTGCAGTAGCGACAAGACCATGTACTTTGGCGAGCTCCTCGACAGCTACGTCGCGGCCTAGGCTTCGAACCCCGATATCTCCCGGCTTCTTTATAGTTTCTATTGCTCGATCTTGAGTTCTTGTTCGCATAAAGCAGGCAGTCCTGCGAGAAGGAATTTGGCTGCGTGCATACGACGATAACGCCCGTCAAAAAAGAACAGACGCCTTTGCGCGCCGCCGAGATCCTGCACCGCAGCCGTGCATTCCCTGGCGTGGAGCCTGCTGCAGTGCTTGCTTTGCCACGAGATATCGTCGTCCACAGCGGCTTGGACCTTGGAAGAGAGGCAACGTGATTACGTGGCAGATCCGTGGGCAAGGACGGTGAGCGGCCGACCAATCAGCAGATAGCATGTTTGGCGTTTCCACGTTGCTATGTTCAGTTCCCAAGATAGCTCGACGAGGATGGTGTTTGTATCGCTGGACGGCTGCGCCGATGCACCGAGCGCCGTCGCCGACAGCGCGCCCAACGAGCACGTGGTCGCGGTGCGCGTGACGCCGGGGTCGCCGCCCAAGCCCGTCAAGAGCATCTCGCCCGTCAAGACGCTCGACGACGAGTTCGTCGTCTTTGTCTCGGACCGCGCGACGACCGACCGCTGGGCATTGCGCAAGACGTACCACCAGGTCGCCGACTTGCACTGTAGCATCAAGGGGTGTGTCAGCGCCAGCACGTGTCGGCGCTTTGCGTGCTGTGGCCCACTGCGGCGCGTCGCCAAGGCCCGCATGCCCCGTCAAGCGCGGCGCATCTGCTTTCGCTTCGAGGCGACGCAAATGACCTTGGATGCCAAGGCCGCGCAGCGCACGATTGGCGTCGAAGAGTACTTGAACGAAACGATCCAGGCCACGAACGGCCGCGACGCCGAGTGCCCGAGCCTCGACGCGGCCCGGACCGCCCTCGACGCCTTCCTCGAGGTCGCGCGCCGACGCGAAGCCAAAGCGTCGGCGACCATCGAAGCGCTTCTCCACGGTCTCCGCATCACGGACGCCGTCTCGGTGCACATCGAGTGCTCCGTGTGCTTGACGAGCTTCCGCGACGACGCCAACGCCGTCCAGCTGCCGTGCCTTCATGTGTTCCACGCGCCGTGCGCCGAGCAGTGGCTCGCAAAGAGCACGACGTGTCCCGTCTGTCGGCAGCCCGTGACCTCGTCGTGACCACAGGGTCGTTTTGAGCGTAGTTACCACCAACTGTTTCATTTCACTGGGTCTATTGGGTTATGATCTATCGTTTGATGGCCTTCTTCTTGACGCCGCTACTCTCATCGTGTGGCGTGCTCGCGTCGTCCTCGTAGTACGACGTGCCGTACGCCAGGAAGAACTCGTGCATCGGCGGCACCTCCTTCCACGTCACCACGTACAGCTGGTCGAGCACGATCTTGGAGTCGGGTTTGGTCGGGTCCACGATGCAGCCAGGACACAGAATCGAGTTGTTGTAGAACCCAGAGGCGTCCCAGTAGACGTCTTCCGGGTACTCGTACACGCGGTCGTTGGGGAACCCGCCCATGGAGCCCTCGGCGTCGACGAGGCCGTCGTACTCGACGAGCCGATGGCCATACTGCTCGACGAATCGGTCGACTTCCTTGACCTCGCCGTTGACGACGACAAAGGTCTCGCCGACCTCGCCACAGCGCGCGACCTTGTTGAGGCCGTCGTGGTGCATCTCTTCCGAGATGCGCCGACTCCCAAAGATGCATACGACTGAGAAGGCCGGCCACGGGTGCTTGGAGAGGTTGAACATGCCGCGCCCCGAGTTGGGAATGCCCGAAATGGCCATGCCCATGGTACCGTTGATGTTGGACTCTGTGCGCTGGATGTCCTTGAGCTTGACCTTTGTAAACTTGAGCGGCGGCGGCTTCGGAATGGACGCCTTGAGCGCGGCGAGCTCTTCGTCCGTGAGCTCGGGCGGCGTCTCTTTGACCAAGTGCCTGCATCGATGGCCATAAGAACTGAGCGATACACAACGATGAACGTACAGTTGCTTGGCCTCGGTCTTGGCGCTGCGCTTGTACGCCTCGTGGATCGTCGACTTCATGCGCGGCGACCACCACTTGCCCTTGCTCGACGTCTTGATCTGCTTGGCAAAGTGAAACGTAATGAGTCGCGACACGTTGAGCGCCTTGCCGTCCTTGGCGGCGGCCACGGCCGTGCGTGCGACCGTGAGGAGCCGGTCGTCGACGAGGTCGTCCAGTGCCGTGTTGGCGCGCTCGCTGAGCGTCCAAACGACGCCGAGAAGCCGCTTGAGTTCACTCAAGTCGACATCGCCGGGGGCTTCGACGACCGCGACGAGTTTGTTAAAGTCGGGGTTTTGCGAGTAGAGCGTGTGGTTGCAGCGCTTGAGGTAGCTCATGACGTACGCGTTGAGGTTGTCGCACGGCATGCGCGCCTCGAGCTTGCGCCAGAGCTCGTCGACGAGGCACGCGTCACTGTGGAAGATCGACTTGGTCGCTTCCGCGTCAAAGTCCCATGTGCACACGAGCGCCTCTTGCATGACCTCGCCGGACGTGCGCATCTGCTCGGGCTCGACCGAATTGTGGTGCGTGTCGATGAGTTGCTTGAAGTTCTTCTTGACGTACCGGTGCAGAAACTGGTCGGTCCAGTACCGCCGGTTGCTCGAGTCGTTCTCGAGCGCGTTCGCAGGCAGGAACTTGGCGTACGCTTCGTTGAGCGTCAAGACGTGGTCGATCTCATAGAGCTCGTCTTCGTTGGCGCGCGAGAGGTAGATCTCCCAGGCGCCCGGCGTGATGTTGTGCTTGCGCATGAGCTCGGCGACCTGCGGCGACGCGGACGACGGGAGGTCGCTGATGGGCGACGACGACGCCGTCGAGTTGGCGAGCGCGTCGAACGGCAGGTCCAGCGCCATGGTCGGGCGCTCAAACGGGATGTGCCACTTTTGCCACAAGACGAGGATTTCGCGCACGACGGTCTAGGGCGTCATGAGCCTTTGCAGTCGAATGGAGCTTATGCAGCCTACCAGGTCCTTCCAATCGTCGTCCATGAGATCGAGGAGTTTGTAGAGCACCTTCTCGGAGGCGAGGACGAGCGGGGACGAGGCGAGGCGGCTGTTGCCGTGCTCGTCGTTCGTGCCGCCACGCACCTTGCGAAACACTTCGTGCGCAAGGAAGATGACGTTCAACTTGCCTTTCGTGTGCTCGAGCGCTTCGGTCGCCGCCAAGATCCTTCGCCAAATGCTGTCAAAGCCATGCTCTTGCTTGAGGATGAAGCGCATGCAAATCTAAGCATTAGCATCGTCAGCACATGGACAGTCGGTCCTTGCGTACCTCGATCGCCGACTTGGTTTCGGGAAGGCGCTCAAGGAGCATGTCGAGCTCGAGCAGCGGGTCGTTCAACGACGTCGAGAGCGTCTTGGCCTTGACCGCCGCCTCCGCGAGGCTCTGTTTCTTCTGCAATAGCTTGTCTTCGATCTCCTTGTTGATCTCTTTGCTGATGACGCCAATGACCACGCCGTCGTCGTCGCGGCAGAGCGACTCGACGCTCGCGCCCGTCCGCTTCAAGCGCTGGAGGCTCTTGAGCTGGTGCAGATCCACGGGCGCGACGAGGTGCAGCGTGAAGATGTACTTGGCGTACGGGAAGCTCACGCAGAGCGCCATGCGCTTGCGCTTGAGGTACGCCAAGAGCTCGCTCGCGTCCTTGGACGCGAACTTGCAGAAGAAGCTCGTGCCGGGCACCGCGCTGTACTTGGTCTTCGTGCTCACGCTGAGCTTCTTGGGAAAGTCCTTCAGATAGTGGCGCTTCTCCGCGGGGAGCTTCCCCACGAGGCTCACCGAGACGCCTTGGAACTTGACCTCGACGCGCCACACGTCGGCCGCCATGGACCCGCTCATGATCGCGCAATAAAAATAAATGTTCAAAACCCACACTGGCCAGCAGCCTTTGCCCTGTGTGCGGACCATACTGTATCGCAAACAGGGAATGTCCCCGCCCCAACGAGGGCAAGTAACGTTGGGCGCCCTTTGGACGTGCATACCTGCGTACAAGGTCGCGGGTGGGCGGGAAACGAAGAGTTGTGATTGTCATTGTTTGTGGTCTGCATGTTTATATTGTATATATATTTATATTATCTATAGTCGGTTTAGAGTTGGCAGACAGGTTTGGTGTTGTTGTACAGTTAGTAGTCGTACGCGGGCGTCGACCACTGCGGCGGCGTCGGGAGGTGGTTGAGGCTGTCGCGGCGCGCCGGCAGCGTCACGCGGCGCTTGGCCATCTCGTCCTTGACCATGTAGCGGTACGTGGACGGCGGCGGTGGCGGCGGCGTCGGGTGCATGTGGTGGTGGTGGTGGTGGTGCGGCGCTTGCTGCTGGTACTGCAGCTGGTACTCGAGCGTGCTGCCTTGCAGTAGCATCGTCGCGTCCATAGCGCCCCACTCGATCGTGTTGCTCTCGACCGTGCGGAGGTCGGCCTCGCCGTGCGCGAACCGGCACTCGTCCGTCGAGTAGTTGCAGCAGCCCTTGAGGAAGTAGTAGCACAGCTCCGTCTTGTAGTTTTGGAGGCGCGGCGCGGGGTTGGGCAGCGGCAATGGCGCCACGTTGACAACGCTCTGGGATGGCGGCTCGCGAAACACCAAGTCGCTCTCGCCGTGCGCGAGGAGGCACTCGCGTCGCGCCTTCGGGCACTGGCCCTCAAGGTACAGTGGGCACAGGCGCGTCTTGTAGACCGGCGTGGTCGCCGCCGGCACCTTGGCGCTGACCGCCGTCGCGTTGTTCGCGGCGCTAACGTTCGGGTTGCGGACGAGGTCCGACTCGCCGTGCGCAAACGAGCACGTCCGCCGGGTCTTGTTGCACTTGCCTTGGAGGTAGTACATGCACATCTCGGTCTTCCAGTTGCTGCTCGCAGCGCGAAACTCGGGCTTGGCCGCCGGCAGCGGCGCCACACTGGGCTTGAGCGACGCGTGGTGCTTTAAAAGGTAATCCATGGTCTTGGCAACCTCGCCGTTGCTCGCGCGCAGAGCGTCCTGGAGGTCGTCGAGGCTGATGCCATCGAAAAGCTCCTGAAGCATACTGAGCGTACTGTTGTTGCTGCTCGCGCTGCTGTCGTCGCTGTCCACCGAGTCATCGTTAGAGCTGTTGCTCGTCGTGCGCCGGCTGCTCAAGGACGACCGGTCCTTCGCCTCGGCGTCGGGCTTGGCGCCGTCGAGCGAAAACGCGTCGGCCGTCGGCAACTTGGTGAGCAGTGCCGAATGCATCGTCGCGGCCGTCGCCGGCATGACGCACGGCGAGTCCAAGAGCGAGGACGGGAGGAACTGGCCCATGTTGCTGTTGCGCAACGACGTCGAGAGCGGCGACGGCGACGCCTGCGGGTCTTGCTCCGCATCGTCGTCATCGTCAGTGACGGGCGTGGCCGAGTAGAAGCGAAACCCAAGGAGTCCCGGCGCGGTGGGCGGTTTGGTCTCAAACGGCTTGGGTGGCGAGTCCCACGGGTCGGCGGCGCTGGTGGCCGCCGACGCGTCGACGCTCGGGCGGCCCTGTTCGTCCTTCAGTCCTGCATTCACTGCCGGTGCGGGCGGTGCGACGCGGTCCTTTTGCAGTTCGAACGCCACTGTCCGTTCGCGCACGAGCTCCTGCTTGAGCTTCTTGATCAAGAGTGACTGCAGTGCCACCTTCTCGTCGGCCGCCGCCTTGGCAGCTTCGGCAGCGGCCAATCGAGTCTCCACGTCGGACGGTACATTGCAGTCAACGGCGCAGTCGCGACCGTAGGCCATCACGACGCGGCGGAGCGCCTCCTGCACACTCTCGCCGATCGCGTCGACGATGTCGACGACTGCGACATGTCGGCTCGGGTTTTGCACCGAGAGCGCGTCTTGGTTGGCGACGGGCGTAAACGTCATTTTCGGCTCTACGACGACGTCCAAGCGCGTACGACTGATCTTCGTCCGGCACGACGGCTGAAAGGAAGATGATGACCGCGCACGCGGTGTCACCGAGCAAACCTCTCGAAATTAATATCCGCGCCCACAAGGCCACGCGACGAGCCAATCCGAACGCGCCATTGCACCAGCCTGCGCAATTTGAATGGCAGCCAGGCGCCATCCGGATAAGAATATGACAATGTGATGAGCTGCGCGTGTCTAGCAGCCGACCCGCGATCACGCCATCATCCAGCGACGCCGTGGCGATGATTCGTCGCATCTCGACTTGACCCGGAAGAAGGAGCGCTCCACGTACTCGCTGATCCCGAGACTCGCAACTACTCGAGGTGCCACCTAGTAACGTCCGTCGGACCAGGGTTGGGGCTCGGCGCTGTAGACCGATTCCTGCGGGCTGCTACGGGATGCTTATTCTCGCGGCGCAATGTGCTGTTGCCTTGCATGTTGAGGGAGGACCCTCTCGCCAATTGATTCTCGGTGGTCTCGGGAGTGCTGTCGCTCGCAAGTGCCAGCGCTGAGGCTGCAAGCACACGCACCGCGACCGCTCAAGATCGAGATCGCATCCGGATATTCCGTCCTGCCGGATACTGTGTGCACATTTTGGGCACAAGATGAAGTCGTCCTTGCGCGGGTACACGTCCAAGGTGGTCCATGACCTGCTCTGGGCCATGGCGAGCCCTCACCTGCTGTCCGAGGAGCTGGGCGTCTTGCCTGCGTCCATGTCCGACGACGTCCTTGCGCAGCCGTCGACGCTCGCATGGCTAGCGGCCCTGGACGCCGACCCAGCGCCGCTCGTGGCCTTTCTCTTCCGTACGACGATGCATGCAACTTCATTGATCGACACGCGTCTAAGTAGAGAAGCGCCGGGACGCCAACTCGCTTGCCCTTGGCGTCTACTATGCCGGCCTCCTCGAGTACTGGCTGCGCTTTTGCCCATCGTGGCGCGTCGAGCGCCTCGCGGTCGGGCAGCAGCTCGTGTGCAACGAGAAGCATGCGATGCAGACGGTCGGACAGCTCAAGTTTGTGTTTCGCCAAGAAGGTGCGCAGCCGATGCACTGGGAAGCGTCCATCAAGTACTTTCTGCTCTGCCACGGGCCGCCATACCAGCTCGAACACTTTGTCGGGCCGCACTTGGGCGAGAACCTCGCGTGGCGAGCGATCGAAATCGAGCGCAAGCTGAGCATGAGCAAGGGCGAGGCCGTGCGTCGCTGGATGGCGTCGCACTTTGAGCTCCCAGAAGCATCCATGGCGCCCACCTCGTACATGGTGCTAAAAGGCGCGCTCTTCTATCCGCTCACGACGCTCGCATCGACCTTTGACGTGCAACGCATTCCGTTGTGCGAAGGTCTGGCTCTCGATCATCGGCGCGGGTGGTGGACGTCGGCGCCATCCTCCGACCTCCCGCGGACGACGTCGCCCAAGCACACCTTTGCCATCCTCCCCAAGATGCGCTGGCTCGCGCCCGTCGTCGCCTTCCGTGAGGGCGATGGGTCGCTGTACCTGCCAAGAGACGAACTCATGGGCCTCGATCGCGTCGACCTTCTCTCGGTGCAGCAGCTTCTTACGCATCTTGCTGCTCACTTTGACAAGTCGGAGAACGCTGTGCTTGTCGCCGAGGTCGATGCGTCTGGCGACGAAGTCTCGCGCGGGTTCGTGATGGATCCCAGTTTTGATCCGTCGCCGCTCATGGCCAACGCGCTCCAGTACAAGCGCCGGAAGTCCAAAGACGCTGCCGGTGGGCGCGAGTACGAGCAGCGCCGGGGCATGACGGGCGACGGCGTCCGGCTCAAGCACGACGTGCCGTCGGCCAAGAAGCGACAGCTGCATTTGCACGACCTTCCGTCGACGCCGGCCGAGCTGTTAATGGCGTTGCAAAGCCACCTGGTTGCGCATAGCTTTAGCTACGCAACAATCAAGGCGGTGCTCATGAGCTACTTGCAAGCTGCGGAATCCATGCCTTCCCGCCTCGTCGACTGCGTCATCGCGCTTGTCCAAGGCAGCGACGACTCAAAAGACACGCTACGCATGGGCCACTTGGTGCTCGAAGCCTACAGTGCGGTGCGGACGACCCACGAAGCGGCGTCGGCGTTGCGCCTCGAGACCTTTTTGCATGCACAGCTGGACTTGCGCGAGCGCTGGTGGTGCATTCGGCTGTGCGCCAAAGGGATGGGGCTGCTCGGCGCTTCTGCAGACCCGTCGAGTGTCCCGGTCGAGACGCTTCAACGTGCCGTGCACACCCTGGTGGCCGCCGCCCACCCGCGCTGGAACGCCGCTGCCGTGGACCTCTGCGCCTTGTATCGGCTGCCTCGGTACGTCTTCTGCACCATTGCTGTGCTGGGCGCTAATGCACGGTAGGACCGACGCGGCTGTCATAAACATTCTCAGCGCAATGCTGGAGCACGCCGACTACTTTAACGCGGAAGCCTTCTTTGACGCGCAAGTGGCGCTCGACAGCACTGGCGAGCGCACACCTCGGCTCGTCTCGTGCATTGCAACCTGCCATTCGCTGCCGACAAAGATTGCGCGGCGGTTTGGCGCTGGCCTCGCGCTCCTGTCGCCCCATCGACCCGACGAGGCGGCGTCCGAGATGCCACTTTTTGACGCTAAAGCGCACTGCGCTCTGCTCCAGCCCGCCGTCCACCGCGCTCTCGACGCTGTGCACTTGGTCGATACGCCGGACGCCTTCGGGGCGCTGCGTGAGCACCTCGAACGCCTCGTGCGCGACGGTTCCTACCACGTAATCGGCGTCGACTGCGAGTGGCGACCGCGCCAGCACGCCGACGAGACAGCCACCGATAACGAGCGTGTGCAGGTGCTGCAGCTCGCCGTCCCGGATGCCGTGTACATCCTGGACACCATGGCACTGGACGCAGCCGGTTCAAACAACGGGCTCTTGCTCATGGAAGAGCTCTGTTCGGTGCTCTTTGGCTCGCCGAGTCTGTTGCTCGTCGGGTTTTGCTTTGCGGGCGACGTGCAGAAGCTCCGAGCAACGTACGCAAGTGTGATGGACCGCGTCTGCCCGTACACGACCAACTGCCTCGAGCTGCGCAAGCTCGCGCTGCTTCGGCTCCCGACCGAGTCGGCAGCAGCGACGTGGGGCCTCGCGACCTATGCGAGCGTGTGCCTACATCTCACGATGGAGAAGGACCAGCAGTGCTCCGACTGGAGCGTGCGGCCATTGACGCTGGTTCGTAATATTTGTGATACGTTGCAGCGTTCATGCTGGTGTAGGCTCAAATCGAGTACGCAGCGCTGGACGCCGTCGCGGTGCGTCTCTTGGCGCTCTTCTTCCTCGCCGATGTGCTCACGCTGCGCAGCGAAAACCACCTCACGTCGGCGCCCGTGACCATGCCCGCGCGTCTTCTCCGTCGCCTCTTGATTCGCGAAGACCGCCGCGACCTCGGTACACAGACGATGGCCTGTCGCAGTGCTGACGTTGGTGTCTAGTTCCGTTTCTACAAGAGAGCAATGTTGTGACTGCCCTTACGGCGCTGCGCCTTGCGTTCACGGTCGTGGACGCCGCCTCGGTGCTCGAGAGAAGCGCGATCGTCAAGACGGTGGCTTTCGCCGTCACGTCGGAAGCCACTGCGTATGTCGCCGTCGTGTTGGAGCTTGAAAAGACCATCGATACGACGGCACTGGCCGACGCGCTGGGCGTCGACGCCGGCCACCTCGCGCTCGCGACCGACGCCGTACGTTCGCCCATATAAGCCTCCGTCTCATGGCGCGTAGGAACTACTGCATGTGTTTGGCTATCCGCGCGGCTGCATTGGCCCGCTGGGACTGCGCCAGCAGCGCCGCATTCGAGTCGTTTTGGACGCAAACGTGGCAGCGATGCCCACCATGTACTGTGGGGTCGGCGCACTGCGTCGTGTCGCAAGCCTTGCTCTCCAAGAGGTTCTCGCCCTCGACGGGACACCCGGCGTCGGCGCAGTGACGTACCTTGTCGTATGTCGTCCAACAGCAGCCACGTAGAAAATATACCGCAGTAATATCCATATTTCAACTTGATACAGTCGTGAGGGATGCTCCAAGAGCCTGCAAGTGGAAAGCTTGTGCGTCTATGTCGCCTGTTTATGTACAAGTTGTCGTCTACGAGAGCGACTCGAGGTCGTTGCCACCGCGCAAGACGACTTGGGTGAACACACTGTCGTGGTGCTGCGCGAGCTCCGTAAACGTGCCCTACGACGTCAGCATGAGCGCATGTACGATGCGTAGGGACGCTACCTCTTCGACGACGCGACCGCCCGAGATGACGGCAATGCGGTCCGCGCTGCGAATGCTCGAGAGGCGGTGCGAAATCAAGATGACAGTGCGGTCCATCTTGGCCCTACGCCGCGTCAACACCAGATAGCGCTGCGCAAAACAAGGGCACGTACTTGTCGATCGCGTCTTGGACGAGCCGTTCGCTCTCCTGGTCCAGCGCCGACGTGGCTTCGTCCATGAGCAGAATGCGCGGGTTCTTGACGAGCGCCCGCGCGATCGCGACGCGCTGCTTTTGGCCGCCCGAGAGCGACAAGCCCTTGCTGCCGACGTGCGTGTCGTACTGGTTGGGCAGCGACATGATAAAGTCGTGCGCATTTGCTTGCTTGGCCGCCTCGATGATGCGGTCGAGTGACACGTCGTCGTCGGCCGTCAAGCCATAAGCAATGTTTTCAGCAATCGTCGCGCCAAAGAGCGGCGGCTCTTGGCTCACCTACAAGAGAAAATGCGCGCACCGTTCTACAACGTAGGTGTGGCGTACTGTGCCAATGATGCTGCGGAGTGCGAGCGGGTCCATGTTGGCAACGTCGACGCCGTCAATCAAGATGCGGCCACCGCACCCCGCTAAGCGATCCAAGAGATGAGTCGACGACCTTTGGGGACATTGTGTCTACCGCCGTTGAGCTCGTAGAAGCGGGCGAGGAGCGCCATGACGGTGCTCTTGCCGCAGCCGCTCGGCCCGACGACCGCAAGCGTCTCGTGCGGCCGGACTGTGAGATTCAGCTTCTCGAAAATCTGGGCCTCGGGGCGCGCGGGATAGTGAAACGAGACATTTTGAAACTCAATGTTGCCTTGGAGGTTGGTCGGCAACGGCTCGGGCGACACCGCCGTAATCACCTGCGGCGCCCGGTCCACGAGCTCAAAGACACGCGTGGACGCGCCAATGCCCTTCATGATGTCTACAGTTTTTGCATGAGATACTACCCGTGTACGTGTGTATATACCTGAGTAGAAGGACGAGACGCCGGCAAACGAAAAGCCCACGTAGAGCGTGTACATCAAGAACGAGCTGAGCTCGCCGACCGTGAGTGCCTCCTCGGCGACCATGGAGCCGCCGTAGCCGAGCACCGCGAGCATGCTCATCTTGACGGAAAAGTCCACCGCGCCAAAGAACGTCGAGCTCGCGAGCGACCGCTTCTGCGCGAGGTTCAGAATGCCAGCAATTTTGGCTTCGTGCGCCGTCGTCTCGTGCTCCTCCTTGGCAAACCTAGGGTCCGCAGGATAAGATGAATAGGAAGCTGAGAGCGGCGGTACCAGCGCACAACGCGAATGTTGTTGAGGCGCTCTTCGGCGAGGTCGGTTGCATCGCTGAGCTGCTTCTGCACTTCGGCCGTGAGCTTCTTGACGTACCGGCCGTACGAGACAGCCCCCAGCGCCAGCGGCGGGACGATCGTCAGCATGACAAGGCCGAGCTTTGGGCACGTGACAAAGAGCATCGTGACGCTGCCAATGCCTTGGCCAATGCTGCGAAAGCCTATGTATTTCGCTTGGAAATCGGTCTAGATGAAGCAGTCGGACGTACCGCCCGAGACGTTGTCACTGAGCACCTTGCCGATAAGCGCGGTATCTACGGTTGTACGTGAGAAGACAAGATCATGTGCGGTCGTAACGAACCCGCGCTGAGGCGGTTGAGGAGCTCGCCGGTCTTGGTCTTGTCGAAGAACGTCATGTCTTGGCGCAAGATCGACGCGTACGTGTCTTGGCGCAGCTTGTTGGAGATGCGCTCGCCAATCATGTTCATCATGTTGATGCGCACGACGTTGGTCGCGGCGCCAACAAGGAAGAGACCGCCAAGCGCGGCCGAGACCGTCGGCAGCATCTCGACGCCGCCTGGTTGCGTCACGACGTCGATGATCTTGCCCATGCCGAACGGCACGGTCATCGTAATTGCGGTCGAGAGGCCGAGCGCAGAGAGCGAGATGGCGAGGTTCTTCTTCTCGGGCTCGTACAGTTGCATGAGCCGGCGAAACTCGGAGAGCTTGGACGCTGGCTTCGCCTCGGCCGGCGCCTCCTTCTCCGACGGCGCATGGAGCGATGAGTGGGCGCGGAAGAGCGCCGGAACAAGTCCTTGCCGGTCGCTGCGGGCGCGGTAGCGCAGAGCCACGGACGGGCGGACGCCGGACCGTAGGCGGAAGGACAGCATCACGATAACAATGGCCGAGCACGGTCGCCGCGTGGAATCAACCAATCAAAACGCGCGCACGCGTCACGGTTAGCTGAAACCGGTTGGCGTGCTGGACCGAATGGCACGTTCGAGATGCCACACGAAGTCTTTGCCAATCAAAACACTGTATGTCAAACAGAATTTAAGAAATGTCTCAAACAGAATGTTGTGGAGAGACACATTCTTGCAGCAACTAGCATTGAGAGCAGCCGCCACCAAAACGTTTCATGCTACTGCGCCTTCTCATTCGGTCATGACGTTTCGAGGGTCCCGGGTGCACCCAGTACTAGTACAGTGTGTCGAACCTAGATTTGGCGTCGCTATTCCGATTTGAAATCGTTGCAGCGAAGGCACCAGGTGGCGCAGACCAAGCTACATCCTGGTCCCGACGCCGCCGGTCTTCGCGAAGACGCCGCTTACGATGGGAGCTGTTGTTGGCTAGGCCACGGTTTCGAGCGACAAATCCGGGCCAGAGATCGACCGCGCTGAGTCCGACTAAGATAGATACAATGCAAGCTGATCAAGAAAGGAGTCGCACGGGCAAATAGCTGTGAGAAGCTACAGCTTCGCACACCTTTGCTCACGCGAGTTACTCGCGCCCCACCGCCGATCGTAAACGACACGAAATGATACACTATTATGCATGGCGCCAACGTGTTGCGCAAAATGCGATACACTATTTTCGTGATCTCGGCTAAGTGCGGAAACCGCTGACGTGTCGCAAGGTAAAGTCGGCGGCGCACTTGACGGGGCGAACGTTTTCAAAGCTAAACTTGCTGCCATGGGCGTGGTCGAGACGGTGCACAACATCCGGAGCCGCGTGCTCCTCGAGCTCTTGGCCGTGGGCCTCGAGGAGGAGCCGACGCCGCCCTTCCACCAGCCGACGCCTCTCGGCGCGACGCCGGCGCCGGCGCCCACCAAGATCCGCGTCTTGTCCATGAACGTGTGGGGCATCCCAGTCACGCCGTATTGCACCGAGCGCGCCCAAGCGATCGGTGCGATCCTCGAAGAGAAGGCCAAGGACTGGGACATTATCACGCTCCAAGAAGTCTGGCACCGGCGCGAGAAGCGCATTATCGTGCACGCGGCGCTGCGCGCGGGCTTTGCCTACTCGCACTACTTTCATCCGGCGGTGGGCTTTCCGCTGCCGATCGGCCACGACTCATTTGGCACGGGCCTCCTCGTGCTCTCCAAGTTTCGTCTCTCATCGGCCATGTACCACCCGTTCCTCTTGACGGGCCGGCCGTATGCGCTGCACGAAGCCGACTTTATCGCCAACAAGGGCGTCGGGATCCTCCGCGTCCACAGTCCGGACGGCGCCGAGATGGCCGATCTGTACGTGACACACCTCCTCGCCAACTACAACCACTTGGGTTCGCCAGGCCCCGGCGACTTGTACCTCTCGCACCGCGCGGCGCAGGCATACGAGCTCGCAACCTTTATCCAAGCGACGACGCGCAACGCGCTCATCATGGTCTGCGGCGACTTCAACTCGCCGGCCAACTCGCTCGTGCTCAAGATCGTCCGCGATCTTGTCGCGCTCCGCGATGCGTTCGCCGACAACCATAAGAACAAGGACTGCGAAGGGCTCACGTTCGGGACCGACGACAACGAGTTCTCGGCCGGTGAGTTTCCGATGCGGATGGACTACATCCTTTTCAAGTCACAGCGCTGGATGCTGCATGAGAGCAACGTGTACAAGGAGTTCTTCACCAACACCAAGGGCGACGAGCTCCCGCTGTCGGATCACTTTGGCGTCTTTGCCGAGTTTCGGCTCACGGCGCACGACGGCGACGACGAGAACAACAACAATGGCGCTCACGAGCATAGCGAAAAGGTCCCGGCCGGCGAACCGTCCGGGTTGCGCAACCGCAAGCAGCCACACGCTGTGTCGTCCGTGGCCTTGCCGGCAGCGACGCCGTCGACGGCAATTGCGTGTCTCAACGACATTCTCCGGGAGCTCGAGACGGGGAAGGCGCAGACGGTCGAAGCGCGCTTCACGCACTTGACGCGGGCCTTTGGGAGTCTCTTTGCCGTGCTGCTTGGCGGCATCGGCATGGTGCTGTACAGCCACACGCTCTCCAACGCCTTTTGGTACATGGGCTATGGGCTCCTGACGCTCCTCTTTGTCTTTGGCATCCTCGAGTACATCGTCTCGTTCTTCGTCCTCACGCTTGAAGTGTCGTCGTTCACGGAGTTTCTCAACCAGATCTTACTCCACCGCCATACGCTTCTGGAAGGCAGCGTTCAAGACGCGTAAGAAATACGAGATTTGCTAGACAAGACTATTTTGTGCACAAATTCTACGCGGAGGACTGCAGCCGCGCTTGGACCTGCGCCACGTCGTCCACAGACGAGATGCGCACGGCGGCGCGATGGCTCGCAAATTGAGCCGCGACGTCGTCTACAAGGCAGCGTTGAGCAGCGACATCGAATTTGGCCCGTCTACCGTAGGGGTCAATGGTCGTTGACGGCACATCGCTTCGCCGCCCGGGGGCCGTGTGCAGCTGATGGTGCAGCTCTAAGCAGATCATAAGGACACGATGGGCTCCTCTGTGCTACGAACCGCGCATGGTGCCGATCACGTCCCGAAGACCCGTCGCCGACGACACCATTTGATGGGTGAACGGTGCGACTACAAGCAAGAGGATGAGAACCGAGCCGTAAGTGCATGGCGACTCTAGCTTGGACCTACCGGTTTCCGACATGCCCTCTGTAAACTGCAGGCTGCGGCAGAGCTCGTCGACGTTGGTGACTTGCGCGTCGAGGGCGACCTGCGCGGCGTGCAATTGCTCCTGCTTCAAGGTCGCGGTTTGGATCTGCTGGCGGAGCTGGTGCAACTCGAGCTCGAGCGCACTCACGTCGGCCTCGCTCCACTGCGCTGCGTCCGTAAAGCTCGCGTCGACTTCGTGCTGGTACTTTTGCTGGATCTCGGCAATGTCGGCCGGCGCCACGAACACATTGCGGAGGATGTAGAGCTCAAACTTGTCAAAGTTCTTGGTGAACGACCGGCTCACGAGCTGCATGTACTCGCTCGTGCCCTACGCAAGGCTCAGCCGTGTAGCGAGAGGCGTCGTACGTTGTGGATCGACTGGGCCTCGGCGTTCGTGACCACCGTGCCCTTGGATTGCACGAGCTTGCGCTCCAGCTGCTGCGCGCCGTCTTCAATGTACGACTCGACAGACTTGAAGACTACGAAGAGGCTGTGGCGTCGCGCACCAAGCGAAGTGGGCGCACCGTCGTCCGTGAACTGCAGCCCGCGGCCGCTGAAGAAGTCGGGCGCGTCGGCCATCGTGCTGGCAACGCGGTTTTAAAATCGCAGTATTTCGTTTTTTAAAAATCCTGACATGCAACGTTCTTAAATAGTGTTAAATGATGGTCACGCCGCGTGTGTTAGCCTTTGAGGGCTCTCAAATGCAGCGCCGCCGAGTAATGCACTTTTGCGCTATAAGCGTGCGGGGTGTGCGCAGCGCTTTTGTCGGTCGGTCATTCCCTCGTGCGCGGACAGTATCGACTTGAAATGTACACTATATCCTGTTTTTGCACTGGCTGGGACGATTGATTGGCTGCATTGTTTGGATTTTGGCCAATGACGTGCATCTAGAAACGACCAATGACAGGCGGCGAAACCATTCCTTGGCCTGCCACGGTCCATTCATCAAGAAGAAAGCGATGTCTGCCGTCAAGGGTGTCGTCCGTCTCCGCGTCGCCGCCGGCAAGGCCGCACCGTCGCCTGCCATCGGTCAGGCCCTCGGTCCGCTCGGTGTCAACATGATGGAGTTCTGCCGCTCGTTCAACGACCGCACGGCGCACTTGACGCCCAGCATCCCGGTGCCCGTCCAGCTCACGGCCATGAACGACCGTACGTTCTCGTACACGATCAAGACGCCGCCGACGACGTGGTTCCTGAAGAAGGCGGCGCAGGTCACGAGCGGCTCGGAGCTCACGGGCCAGAAGGAGGTCGGCCAGGTTTCGCTTCGCCATATCTATGAGATCGCCAAGGTCAAGCAGCAGGACGAGCTGCTGGATTACATTGAGCTCGAGAGCTTGTGCAAAAACATCATCGGCTCGGCCAAGTCGATGGGCCTCCGCGTTGTAGACAAATAGATAGACAGCCAGCGACGCGTGCGATGTTCAACACGATCCTCTCGTTGGTTCCTTACTCGGTCGCCACCATCTTCATGACCATCGTGGCAAGAGCTGTAGTATGCCCGTCGTCAGCTGCACCAGCACGAGCTCATCGCGGCTACAGCACGCCAAGCTCGCCGTGTACACGGATGTGCCCTAGTACAGGCTAGCACCCTCTCCCAAGCCATCACTTGCGGAAGGACCCCGTCGTGGCCATGCAAGTCATCCCCGTCCAATGTGCCTCCGCAGCTAGCTGTCTGCCGTGGCTGTCGTCGACCGTGCACGTAGCAGGGCGGCCGTTTGCCGGTGCCAAATTCTTCGAAATGGCCAGTTCAGCTCGGATTTCGATCATTTTTATTCCGGCTTCATACAAACGCCAAGTTGCATTTCGAACGTGTGCTTTTAAATGACATCGTGGCTTTTCGGCGGCTTGCGACCGTCAAAAGAAGTTTTGCCAAGGACGCGCAATGATCTCGCTGGCGCATGTCAAGTCGAGCCAGGCCGAGGCCGAGAAGGCCGTGCTCGCCCGCAGGATAGCCTGGCCCGGCGGCAAGCTTGTCTCCAACAAGGAAGAGGCCCTGCGCAAGTTCTTGGAGCGGAAGAAGGCAATCGCCGAAGGGCGGTCGACGTCATCGTCCGCGTCGGCAAGCCCATCCAAGGCGTCGTCCCACGAAACGACATTCCACGTCAATGGTCGCAAGCGCACCGTAGGACACAAGGTGCAGCCGCATGGCCCGTCCAAGGCGCTGCACACGAAGAAGCGCGACTACAAGCACACGAAGAAGGACACGACAACGTTCAAGACCACCAACTTCAAGGCCGCCGCCTCCTCGAAAGGAAAGGCGCCCGCAAAGCCGCTGCCGACTGTGAGCAAGCTCTCCATGTCCCTCGACGACATTGTGCGCAAGTCGAGCAAGTGAAGCGAGCAGCATGCATGTCAATGTATTTCCTCGTGCCCTTCTTCTACCACGCGAACAAGTGTTGCACGCAAGAGGCTACTCGGCCTTGCCATCCGTGACCGTCACGTCGATGGTCCACGTCTTGATCTTGATACGGTTGAGCTCGAGCAGCGCTTCGACGAACGCGTTCCCGCCGTGCACCGCGTCGTCCATGAGCACGATGTTGCAGCGGCGCAAGGCAGGCGCGTGCTCGGCGCAGAGCGAGAGCAGCCAGCTCGGCGCCATGCGCACCATGGCCCTCGAGAAGCGCAGCACGGACGTGTACCGTGTGAGGTCCTTCCCAGACGGTGTCGGAAGCATTTGCAGCACGCGCAGCCGAGGCTCGTCATCCGACATCTCGTCGAGGAGCTGGCCCTTCCCGTGCTCCATCACATCTTGGGCCGTCGGAACGTTGGGCCACACGGAGACAATCGTGTCGGGGCCCCAGACGTCTGCCGCCGCCGCGGATGCGGCCTCGTGGTAGATGAGCACGACTTGGACGCCAGCGCTGCGGAATGAGTCGAGCGTCGAGCTCGGTGTGTGGCTTGACGGCGTCGCGATGCGGGCGCGGCCGACGCGCGAGAGGAAGAGGTGGAGAAACCGCGTGTGGCCTTCGGCATCGTGTGTATAAATATGGTTGATGTCGACGACAATGAGTTCTTGCGGGTGCGCGGCCAGGAAGGTCACGAGTTGGTCGATCATGCTCGTCGCCTCGAGGAAGCAGAGGCTGTGGCAGAGGTGGATGCTTCTCTCGTGGATCTGGAGCCGAATGTCGAGGTACCGAATGCCATGCAAAAGCTGGTGCAAGATCGAGACTCGCTGGCACTAGAGACGCCGTTCAAGCTGGGATGACCGCGGACTAGACATACCTTGGCCCAGCGCTTGACGACAAACGAGACGGGCGGCAGCCGAATGTACTTGGCCAAGTTGGCGTCGCAGTCGCCCGAGTGGCACTTCTCGTGGGCGCGCGAGGCGTACGAGCCCGAGTTGTGGCTGCCGGCGAGCGCGATGCGGTTGAGGGGCATGGCGAGGAGCGCCGGGTCCGCGTGCGTCATCCAGCGCGTGGCCTTCGTCGCAAGGACGTCGTCGGTCGCCTCCTGGCAGCGCTTGAAGGAGAAGACCATGAAGACAGAGAGGAGGAGGAGGTAGAGGCCGAGGTCAATCGAGGAATAGATGGCGACCGGCAGACCGCCCTCCTCTGCCAAGACCATCGCAGCGCTCCGGCTTCCAACTCGTTAGCGAGTTTCAGCCAATCAGAACGAAGAGGCTATTTGTCCCACCGCAGCCACGGCGATGCCACGTCGATGCCTAGAATGGTTTGCTGCTCGTTGTCCCAGCGGATCACGAGGGTCATCGCTTCGCCATTGCGCTCGCAGTCGCTGGGCGACGCAACGGGCAATGCTCCCCTCATGCAGTCCAGATGCTTTGCTTGGAAAGGACAGCTTCTTCCTGCCAAGTGTGGGCGTCCATCTCATGTCCAGATGCTGAACGGCGCCTGCAGCGAGAGACTTGACTGCGCTGTGATCGTGCTGGAGGTCGTCTCGGCTAGCGTACTGGAGGCTTCTCTTGCGGGCAGCGCTTGTGAGCTCAACGCGCCAAGATCGCATCATGGCGGTCAACGCTGCTATCGGATTGGTCCGTTTTCGAGCGCTTGATTGTGTTGGCCAATGAGCGCGCGGCGGACGTTGTTGGCATTTGGCCATTCAAATAACTCGAGCATCTTAGTGTGAATATTGCGCCTCCATCAAGATGCCGAAGGAGAAGAAGATGAAGCGCCGGCGCCAGGCGACGACGGCCGAGGCCGCGGGCTCGGGCCAGAACTCGCACGGGCGCACGCTCGCGACGCCCAACACGAGCTTGGGCCAGCATTTCCTCAAGAACCCGATGATCGCGTCCGAGATTGTCAACAAGGCGGCGATCCGCGGCACGGACATTTGCCTCGAAGTCGGTCCTGGTACGGGTAACATCACGGTCAAGCTCCTCGAGCAGGCCAAGAAGGTCATCGCTGTCGAATTCGACCCGCGCATGATTGCCGAGGTGCAGAAGCGTGTGCAGAACACGGAGCACGCCAACCACCTCCACATCATCCATGGCGATGCGATCAAGGTCCAGCTGCCGTTCTTCGACGTGTGCGTGGCCAACTTGCCGTACCAAATTTCGTCGCCGTTCGTCTTCAAGCTCCTCGCGCACCGCCCCATGTTCCGCTGCGCTGTCGTCATGTTCCAGGAGGAATTTGCGAAGCGGTTGAGCGCGCGCCCCGGTGACGAACTCTACTGCCGCCTCTCGGTCAACACGCAGCTCCTCGCCAAGGTTGACCAGCTAATCAAGGTCGGCCGCAACAACTTCCGCCCGCCGCCCAAGGTCGAGTCGCGCGTCGTGCGTATCGAGCCCAAGAACCCGCCGCCGCCCGTCAACTTTACGGTACTTTGGCTCCTCTTTCCATGTTGGATGCTCAGCGCGAATAGGAGTGGGATGGTATGGTCAAGATCATCTTCAACCGCAAGAACAAGACGCTGCACTCGTGCTTCACGACCAAGTCGGTTCTCAAGATCCTCGAAGACAACTACCGCACGTACTGCTCGCTCAACAGCTTGGTACTATGGTAGCCCATTCGCAGACGATTTCTTATGGTGAGCGTAGATGCCGGACCCGGCTTTTGACATCAAGACGCTCGTCGAGGCGACGCTCACGGAGAC